TGGAGAGCAAATGTTTTGAGAATGATGAGAGCAATGAATGTACAAGTGTGCTTTACACAATTGATGTATGTATGGATTGTGATAAGAGTTGTATGAGCCCCTAGTAAAAGGATTTAAAAAAATAAATATAAGAAAAATTCATATTGCTTCTAGACTTGTTTGAATTATCATTGGTGGTGATTATTAGTAAATGGTTTTTAAAAAGCAACTTTTAAATTGGCAGTGATTTCAAAAGTTAAAGAAAAATATATTACAAAGACGGCTTTACCTAGTTTTACTTATTAACATTTTATTCCATTATCTTGACCTCCTGAGCATTCCCTCCACCTTTCTTGTAGTCATAGACTTCCCATGCCCTTCTACCAGCTATTTAATAATCACTTCTCTCCATCATCAGCGTAATAAAAAATGTGATTGCAATAATAAACTCTAAAGCTGTTTTCTAGGAATATCCATGAAGGTAAAAGACATGTTAGCAAAGTGAGAGAGTGGGTCTTATGACTATTAAGTACTGTTGGAAGAAAGGTAGGAAGAACTATCAGGACTATTTCTTGTCATATGAAGTCAGCATACCTGAAGTTATTTGAGAAATATGTCTGAAAATTTGTTTTATTTAAAGGACCTTTAGCAACACTGTAGCTTAGGCATTGGCTTGTTAACTACAAGGTTGGCAGTTCAAATGCACTAGCTGCTCCTTGAGAGGAAATTGAGGCTGTCTGCTGTCAGAGATTGCAGTCTCTGTAGTGAGTTAGTCACAAGGTTGCTATCTGCAAAGTCAGCAGTTTGAAACCGCTAGTTGTTCTGTGGCAGAAAGATGAGGCTTTCTGCTCTTGTGAAGAGTTACAGCCTCCAGAACCCACAGGCACAATTCTACCCTGCCCTGTCGGGTCACTGTGAATTGGAGCTGACTCGGTGACAGTGAGGTGGGGAAGTCGTATGTGAGGTTACTATTGAGTTGGAATTGACTCAAAAGCAATGAATGGGTTTTCAATTGGTGTTTGGCTTTATTTATTCTTGATGGCACCTAAC